CTCGCGGCGCGCAGGACCCTGGGGCAGCCAGCTGAGCATCCGCAGGTGGAGCCAGCCCTCGCCCGGGCCGACGCAGGCAGCCACAGTCCAGCCCCGCGCCGCCCTGGGGACATGCTACGCTGACCAGGTACCAACCAAACGTCTCCTTATATACACACGTGGGGCATCCTGGAGGGCTCGCAGCAGAGCTAATAGGCATAGCCTTTGCTGTAAAGCTGCGGGGGAAGACTCCCAAGGTCCGGCAGGTAAGGCACGTTCTCGTCCAGGTGAGAAAGAGGCACGGTGTCCTCCTCGCTGATCTGCCGGTCAAAGTCTGCCTTCAGGGTCGGCCGCTGATTGTCGGGGAAGGCCAGGGAGAAGAGGGCTTCGGGCTCGCACACAAACTTGTACACGTAGCGCTCACCAGCTACCTGCGGGGAGAGACAAGCTGAGCAGCGCAGGCACCCGGCAGCAAGAGCGTGATGCTCCTTAGCCCGGAGCAGAAACACTGGCTGCTCTAGCCCTCTCCCGCCAACCCGAGACACGTCACGATTGCAAACTTCTTATTACGAAAGACACAGGAACAAGGGCAGCTCTGCAAACTGACCTTCTGCATGATGCCCTTCTCATAATAGTAGCGAAGAGACCGACTCAACTTGTCATAGTTCATGGCTGGACGGTTCTTTTGGATGCCCCACAGCCTGGCTACCTGCAGAACAAAAGCACCAGGGTGAGTGAACATCTCTGAACCCATTCAAGGGCAGAAAAAAGAATGAGCCAGATCTAGTTCAAGGGAACGCCACTGCACCAAAGCACATACAAATGTTGAGGGTGGTTTTATAATAGAATCAAACAATAATTATTTAGCCGGAATGCATCTCTAATGGGGGCAAGATGTGAACAGATATTCCAGGCACATCTCCCAGCCACTGCAGCCCTGGGAGGGTGGCTTCCCCACTAAGAACGTCCGGAGAACAGAAACGGTGTCACCTCTTCCGGCTCAATGAGCTTGAACTCCATCCCTCTGCCAGTCCAGGCAATGAAGTGGGAATTTGTTGGATCATCCAATAAAGCCACAAGGAATTGCCAGAGTTGAAGTGAGCCCCGTCGATGGTATGGTGGTCCTTCACGGTATCCTCCAACTTCCTGCTTGATGTCTCCTGGTGAGAGTAAACAAGGTATTTCTAATGATGACAACCCTGCACCTTCTTTGAAGAGCTTCTGCACTGTAGAAAAGGTGAAGGTGGCTGCAAGCTGCCTCAGGAGAAGCTGCAGGGTCTCTCCCACCTTGGCTCACATTTACCCTGGTCTGAGACTCGGGCTGCAAACCCACCATCCAAACTGGCAGCCATTCTTTCTCTCACCTTCGAATTTTTCTGGAACAACACAGACATCATCAGCAAAGGACCTCATCTGCTTGTCATAGCTGTAGCCTAGAAGAGAAAGCAGCACATGCAGAAAGGCTGGTGCTGAAGGGCAATGCAGTGCAGGTGCGAGGGAAAGGAAGACAGGCACCAAGTGTCTCACCTAGTGAGCCTTCAGTATTTGAATGGCCTGGATAACCCTCAACACTCATGTGTATGGATGGACAGCCGGGATCATCTACAGAACAATTAACAAGCTGTTTTACTGCAAAGCCCATGCAGGGGCAGAAGCATCTTGCTCCCCAGACATGGTCAGGTAAGGGCAGCTGCCAGACCAACGTCCAAATTGTGTCATCCCTAAAGGGCTCAGGGCACTCCAGGTAACTCCCTGGCTCTCGGCCATCCCACCACAACTTCATCTGCATTTCCTTCCTGTCAGATCACAGTACTGTACCCCTGTGACACTACCACGTTGTGACCCTCAGCATAGCAGGGGTTTTCTGTCCCCACCCACACTCCATTCTCAATACAAAGTCTCAGGGAGTAGGCAAAAACCTCCACCTCAAAAGCTTCATTTAAGATAACTGGACTCTGCTACAGCTGTCACAGGTGAAGGAGGCATCGCGTTTCTCTGGGGCCACTATGCTGACACTAAGGACAGCAGCAGCAGCTGAATGTTTAGGCCATCTCAGAAACATCGTTTCAGGTATTTTATGTGTCTCTGGCTTTTCACATCAAAATAGGGAATTCTTATGAACAATGGAAAAAGTATAAAGGTTAAAGCAATCTCAGTCTGAAAAGAACCAAAAGATCCTTTAAAGTCCTCTGTACAGTATACTTTGTTGCTGGGCACTGTAATTTATAGCCTCTGCATCCTGTTTTTTTTTTCCTGAATCAAACACATTTTCCACCTATAATTGAAATGGAAACTATAACTGGGAGCTTTGGGAAGTTTTACCTCACATTTCCCTTGTATGCCTGTGTTTGCCTTAGTCAGACATTTTGCTGCAGCTAAGGGCAGAAGGGTACTGAGCTGACAGACTGTGTGTTATTACAGTCGTAAACCATTCTCACAAGAGCTCTTCTGCAGGTTGTGCATTTTCTTCCTGTCTAGGCAGAAAGACCCAGTGAAAGTGTGGTGTCAGCATGGCCACAGAAATGCATCCTATACCCACATGAGAGCTTTCTATTTCTGCATTTATTTATTCTACAGGAAACAAATTCAAAATGACCATTAAAACACCAGGAAACCAGAAGCTACCTGCCTACTAGGACAGAGTAGAATAGCAAGAGTCTGTGCAGGCCTGCTGAAAAATAACATTTCTCCCTTGTGGAAAGAAAGGGAATTGTTTGATCTGTTGGGTGTCTAGAGAACTTTATTTGGAATTATAACTCTCCCCCTGCCAATCGAGATCCTCTGAGGTCTCCAAAACTTGCTCTGTGCACCCTGGCCCTTGAGAAACAGCAGGTGGACGTTGACACCTGCGAGCCGCAGACCAGCTGAGCTGCATTTGGCCCAGTCCAAGCAGTGCTGGCTCTGGGCTCGTGCCTGTCCCTGGAAGCAGCCAGGTTATTGCCAGCCACAAAAACCCAGAGCAAAGAGCTCTTTGCCAGGAGAAGGCTGGCTTATCTTGCAGTGAAACCTCCAACCCAGGGTACAGGCTGTCCTTGCCTGTGACCTACAGCCATGCGGGAGAAGCCAGGCAGATGTCAGCTGTGATGAGGAGGCAGCAGTGCTGAAAGCTGACACCCACCAGCTCATCTGGGAGAGCAGCGGCTTCGGATGCCTCCAGTTTATGTATGAAATTCCCCTGTCTCCGTGCAGGACAGAGGCGTGCGGCCCGGTGGCATGGGCAGGGTGGCCAGGGGCCAGGCTTTTCTGTACAGGCTGCAAGACATTTGATTCTCTGGTGCTGTTTGCAGAAGGTTTTCAGTGTAATTTCTCCAACACAGACCTTGCTTTGCTCACTCTCAGCCACCCACTGAGGACTCAACTCCCTACAAAACCAGGAGCACTCCTTCCTCCGGATTCCTGCCTTGCGCAGTCCAAGAGTCCTTCTGCCTACCTGAGTCGTACGTGTAGTCGGCCTGCTCCTGCTTGACCACCACGGCCGGATACTGATGGTTGCCACCCTCCTGGCTCGCCTGCTCGTACCGGGGATCGTGGTACTCCTGCTTGAAGCCCTGAGGTGGGTACTGGAGGCAGGGCTCGGGCGCCTGGCGCGGGTAGGCAGCGTCTTGGGCCATGGCCGGCGTTGAGGGGAAGGAGCGGCACATCTCCACGGCCGGCTGGTAGGCAGGGCTGGAAGAAGGGAGAGCCCATGGGGTGGCAGCTCCTTGGCCATCCGGTCCCCGGTGCAGGATGGCTGGGGTGACCTCGGGGTGGGGTAGGGAATCTCGTACTAGGGACATGGCAGCTGTGATTGCTGGAAGCGGACAGCTTTAATCTGGATGCCACAGCCCCTACTCCCCAGCCCACCAAGAAGGGCAGTGGTGCCTCCTCCTGGCATCACTCACCTGTTTTCCATGAGGTATCCACAGCTGGAGGTGGATTGAGGTGGCCCCGCAGGGTTCAGGAAGCTCCTGTCCTGTCTAGGGAAGTGTTGGAGCGGTGACTGTAGCAGGGTTCCTGGGTTGGGAGACTTGATTCCAACTTGTCTGGTGTGATCATAGGCACTGGGACAGGCAAACAGACACCGGAGCATTACAGCTGTCCAGGGAGGACTTGTGGCAGCATCTGGGAGAACGTGGCAGCCCCCGCCTCCCCTCCCATCCAACCACTTAGGCCAGAAGTTTAACAGAGAAGCTCCTTCCTTTCTGATCGTTGTTTGGTACAGGGTGTGACGGCAACAACCCCTCAAGCAGAAAACTAGAGAAGGTGTCTGATCCAAGGAAGTCGTGCAGCAGCTCAGGCAAAACAGCCCCTTGTGGGACAGGTTTGGGAAAAAGAGGAAGAAATGGGGAGAGAGAAGGGCCTATGCCAAGCGTCGAGTCTGCTCTCAGCATGAGGGCAGCTGAGGGGCAGTGCAAGGGAAGAGCAAAGAGGCAGGCCCAGATCCATCCTGTTTGGGTCTGAGCTACCTGCAGCAGCGGACGGCAGCCTGGGCAGGATGCCACCAGCTGACCCACCAGCCAATTCCTGTCACAGCACACCCGGCAGCCACACCAGGCTCTAGTAATAGCACCTCACCCTTAGATAAAGCAGCACTACTCGTTTCATAGCTGTGCCCATTCCTCCCTGTGCAGCTGTGTTACCTGGTGTAAAGGCACTGCTCGCCATTGCGGTACTGGAAAGGCTGCTTATGGCTGCAGGACAATGTGGGGTCCAAGGAGGGACTCTGGGGCTCCTTCTTGACGTTAGCAGGAGGACTGTGGAAAGCTACTGCGAGAGAGAAATGAAAGACCAAGTTAAAACCTTTCTTGTTTTGGGAAAGATGTTTGTGTCAGCCAGCAAAAAATGTGTTCAGATGCCACCACGTTGCTTCTTGTTCCACTGGCTCTCTATCAAGAGGGGTTCCTGCAGTTTCCTGAGCTCTGTCCTTGATTAGTGGGGTTCATATGGTATATCAGCCTTAAAGAAGCAGATTTAAGATTGTTAACATCCTCTGCGATAGCCCAGAGCACTGAGAAGGATTTAGAGTGAGCAATTTCCTAAACTGTTCAAGGCTGGAACAGATGTTTTCTGCTGTGTCCCAAGGGGTCCCACGCACACATTACACATTTCCATGCACTAAAGCAAAGATCTGATTTGCATTGTGTAAAATACTCTCTCATTGATGTACCTGGTAACCATGTCTTGTGAGCATCATTGCACTAAATTATGATCACTAATACAATGCCACGCTATATACTTCATAGTGACATGGTTTCTTCTGTAAGATTAGGAATTAAGGTTTTCCTAGACACAGCTACACAAGCTTCTGAAGGTTTCCTGTGGGAAAATGCTATTATATATATGGCATATTATTATAGACTTTCACCAGACCTTCTTGTACTCAGGTACCTTACACAAGTACTATTTTCAGAAGATCCTAACCATTTTAGATAGCTCAAATCTTTTTCAAAGGAACTCAGTGTTAAATTGCAGTAGAGAATAGAAATGAGTCCTTGCTTTCACTATAAAGCACCTCAAAGTTGGAAGTGGAGCTGTTAGGTACTTTCAGCAGTCTCTCCTTGAAGGATCTGATTTCATGACTTGTATCAGGTTTGTATTTCAGCATTCAGAAAAAAAGGCCAGGCGCTTCTGCAGGAGACTGCAATTCCTGCACGGAAGGTTGCCAACCTGGTGCTCAGCAGCTGCCAAGATAATTTCCAAACACAGGTTTCCCACTGTTGAATCTCTTTCATGCTAATGGTCCAGCATCTCTGGAGGTAGGACTGGGGGAAACCTCCTAACCTTTCTGCTCATCCAAAACTCAAGTGATGGAAAAGAAAAAGGCAAAAGGCTCTGCCCTGTTTTCAGTGCTCTAGTCGCCAGTCATGGCCTGAAACAAATAAGTAGGAATATCTCTGGGCTGGTTAGGATTTCATAAGCAACAAATGTGGGTTGCAGTTTACAGGACCGGGAAGTAGGATGTGGGTATTATTAGTTCTTATGCTTAATTAAATCCAGCAGGGAGTAAAATTCCTTCACTATTTGCTCAGAAAAGCTTACGCTGGCTGAAGAACTCATCAAGTGTCTTATGCCTTTGCCTCTGAGCAAGTGAGCCCTGCTCCCACTGTCAAGAGGTCACGGGACTTAGGAAAGTAACCCGAGAAACAGTTCATAGGGAGGGACCTGCTCTCTGTGTCAAACTTAGTTCTGAATAGGACAAGCTCTGGTTCTTGCTTGCCCGTTAACTCCCACCTCCTCCAGCTGACACCATGCTGCTTGCAAAGAGTGGGATGTCCAGCACCGTGGCTGCCGTTTCACAGGAGGGAAGTCGCATCCTGACCTGTGAATAGCTCAGATTTGCCTGAGTCTCCCCTTGTTTCTGGCTCTTTCTCCTGCCTGGGGACAACAGGGTGTCAAACAGCCAAGTGAGCAGAGTGGTGTGTTCACAGACAGCTCTTGGCACCATCCAAACAAAGTGGGGGTGAGTCCACCCCCTTGACAGGCCTGGCCCACACCAGCAATGGATTTGGTATCCAAACACAGTTACTTCTGCATCTGTGCAAACAGCCCTGGCCCAGGGAAGAGCAGCAAGATAAGAGTGTCTTTCTGTGTCTATTCTATGCCTGGAGCACCAGTTCCCCTTCTGTCTGCAGCAGCTCTTTTCAATGCGCAGAGCAACCAGTTATACAGAACCACACTAAAACTGCTGATGTGTCAACAGAGCCTAGGGAAAAAAAAAAAAAAAAAATGCTCTGTCCAGTACACTGAACTCCATTCAAGCCTCAAGAAGCTAAATGTGCTAGGAGCGGCCAACTCTTTCCGGCCCCTAATAGCTGGAACAGGCTATCGCATTACAACTGGCTCATTCATTCAGAGTGAAACATGGGACCAGCCCTCTCCTCAGCTCCAGGTCAAAGAGAGGAAGAAACAAGTTGTATGACTCAGAGCAAACCCAGCTGTGCTGCAGAGCCAACTCCGGGCGAGGGAGGTAGACCAGGACAACCAGGAAAAGCAAACCAGGACAATCAGGAAAAGCGCTTCATTTTACTTTTCACAGAGAAAAACAAACAAAAAGAAAAAAGAAGAAAAAGGAAGAATCCTGCTCCCCCGCAGGTGGAAAGAGGCATCATTGTGGGAAGAGCTGACAACAGCTTTAAACGGACACCTCTGCTCTCAGTGAGCTGCCAGACGTGAACAGCCCAGGGAATGGTCCAACGTCTCCTGCAGCTTTGGCAAGCCTGTCCTGGTCCAGGCTCGAGTCCTGCAGCTTCTTGCAATGCACAGCTACTCCAACAAAATATTCCAATGTGGGATGTGGCGAGGACTACATGGCAGTGGTGCAGATGGCTCCTGCACAGGCACCTGCCCCCATGCAATGGTCAGGGGCTCCACCATGGGGGATGCTTTGTCCAATAACCAGAGCAGATGTCTGCAGTGCAGTTTGTGCACTTCTGTGCAATCACATGCAATAATTCGGCTAAGAGCAGAACAGTCAGGGTGGCCAGCAGAGCTCTTTGGGGTACCCTGGCCTTGCACCGCAGCTTACAGCAGCCAGGGCCGCAGCCTCAAGGGACCGTCCTTGAGAGGTGAGCGGAGCCCGTGCCAGTCACAGCACCCTTCATCCCACGTACTCGTTAACGAACTTCGCTCAGGGCGGGGGTAATGCCGCAGATTTTTACCTTTGACTGTCATAGTAATGCTTTCTTCTCAGGGATGTTCAGGGATGCCTAATTAGTCACACATACTCGAGCTATGATGTTCATTCTTTGAGAACTGTCAGCATATGCGTTTGCCCTGCCAAACGTGGACAGTTCACTTGTTCTTTCTCACTGTCACAACCATGTAGGAACGGAACGAGTACCTGGGCCTCGCTCACATCTCTGTCTCAGCCACATCTGTTTAGCCACATCCTCCCGTCCTCCCCTGAGAGGTGCCCTCACCCTCATGCTACTTACAGTTCTCTGAATGAAAGTCAGGCACAAATTGCTCATCGCTGTCTGGAACCTGAGCTGCATGGGGAACGGAGAGGAGAAGAATTAGATTGCGCACTTTTTGTGGTGTAATTAGCAGTAAGGCCGAAATTGGTCTATGCAGGGAAGGTCTGAGCTTTCTGCTGGCATGTGCTTTAGAGTGGTGTTGTTTCCTCTGGGGATTAATGAATACATCTCCTCTGCCTGCAGATCTACTCTTATCAGCCTGCCAGTTTCTTTCCCTCCTGTATTTGCTGCATTTCCTTGGTCCTTCTCCTGCAGTGGCCAAACGCATCCAGACGTACTGGCACCTCCTATACTCCAGCCCTTCCTGTGTCCCATGTTTTGGGACTCTGCTAAGCAGCTCAGCATAGCACAGGATTTTTTTTTTTTTTGATCTTGTTTGTCACTGCTGACCATCAGCAGTCTACAGACACACATTTCTGCACTAAGCAAACAGAAGCTGTTTCCACACCCTTGCTTCAGCCTAGCTAGAAACGGGGCAGTACAGACTCCTCCCCCAGCTGCTCTTGGATCCCCTGGGTCAAGCCCCAATCCAGCTATGAACCCCCTCACTTCAAAAAGCTCAACCAGGACAAGAGCATCGAGATACCCTGGTTTGAACTGCAGGGTCCAGAACTTCTCATAGCGGGTCCCAGCTATCTGCTCATACTCAGCCAGTGTCCAAGACATGCCTCAGCATGGTGTGCAAGAGCTGCTTTGGTATGGAGCATGCTGATAGGATTGATTTGGGCTGGAAGACAGCTCTGCTTTTCTTTGCTAAAATACCTTTAAAGGATGAGAACTTGAAGTAGGATTTTTATGCACAGGAGAAAGATGACACCACCAATGGATTTTACTCCTTTTCCCACTTGAAAAAAGATCCTTTTTTTTTTTTTTTTTATTTCCAGTCGAAAGATAGGTTGCCAGGGCTGCAAGGAATGTATCTGCTGCTCCTGGAGTATGACATACTCTCTCATTTAGTCTCATTCCCATGAAAAAATCTGACCTTCTGAGCACCAAATATTGAATAGTAATTTAAAGAAAAAACTTTGAATTTTCATCCAAAGATTTCTTTGAATTTAATGAAGCACTGACTGGCATGCAAAGGGTCTGGTGCTTTTTATGGTTACAGTTCAAAACCAGGTACCAGGAAACCTGGAGTCTGTTCTCAGCTGTGTGATTTGAGCAAGCCATAGGGAATCCTAAAACTTAGAATCTACCAGAACCCAGTTCTGAGGCAACTTTATCTGACTGGCAGCTCAAGGTTTTTGAACATTTAAGAGAAACTACTCTAAAGCCAGTGTGCACACTTAGCACTTCTATTAGATGAGTGGCAACTAATACCTGTTTTTGTCCTGTGTTGTAAACTAGACTGACTATTTTAATCCTAAAAGAGCTTCCAGACATTGCTTTTGCATCCTTATAATCCTCACATTCTTTAAAATTGCCCAATCAAAAGCATTTCTTTTCAACTTGAAATAAACATAAACATTTTAAAAGTCTTTTTCAGTTGGCAAATACCTTTTTTGAAGATGTTATTTTCTGAAGAATGATTTGACAGATTGTCCTTCCCTAGTGGCAAAATTAGGGGAAATAACTTTGCTCAAAATGCTACATATAACAGCTACGGTGATATAGTTGTTAAATGTCACTACCACACTAATTTTATACTTATCAAGACCTTATACTGGATAATACATGTTGAATCTTTCAGAAGACAAGCTTTTTGCAATGCTGAAGCTAAAGGAAATTGATCAGACTGCTTAACATTATTTTATTTAATAGGGCTCCTAGGATTTGAAATTTTCTCTTCTTTGAAGTCAAAAGGCAAAATAATTTAAGCACCAAAGCTGAATGCTGTGTTGAAAGACAACGAAAATCCAGAAAGGTCCCATCAGAGAAATATCTTAAAAAATGTTAAGGGTATTCCTCAGATCCTCAGATCAAAAGAATGGTTTATTATTTAAGAAACCATCCATGCCTTAGCAACTAACAAAGATAAGTGACTAATTAGCACAAAATCCCAGCAGTTGCAAGTAAAGCCTGAAACAAAAATTTTAACTAGGAAAATGGGCTAACAGCCAAGTTCCATTCATAAGCAAATACCCAGCACAATAGTGTGATTCATGATCCTTCATTTACACAAGCCAGAGGTTGGCAAGGATAAAAAAAATACTTACTGTTTGGAGCTAGTCAAACAAAGCAAAGGAAGAATAGAACAAACATCAAAAGACAAATGACTAAAAGAAAGAAAGAGGGAAAAAAAAAAAAAACAGCAAAGCAAGGAGAAGGAGCCTACCTTCCGTCAGCCAAGTCTCCTGGAACTGGCTCAGATCCTGGAAGAGGTCTGCAGGGGAAGGGAGGGCTGCTCAGCGCAGTGCAGGGGGCGGCGGACGGGGATGCTCCCGCGCTCGCACGGCGGAGGGGGCCGACCCCGGCCCGGAGCCTTCTCCTCCCTGCCCGCTCCCGTCCCCTCCCCCGCTCACCTTCCGAGTCCTGCGCCGGCGCCAGGCCCGGGGCCGCGGGTCTCCTCCGAGCTCCCGTCTGAGCTCGACGCCCGGTAGCCGCGTGGCCCGGCGGCTGCTGCGGGAAGAGGGATGAGAGCGGAAAGTCCTGCCCGGAGCGGGTCCGTGCGCGGCCCCCCTATGCGGAGGGTCCGCTACTCACCTGCGGGAACGTGAACGGCACCTGCTGGTCCAGGTAGCCCTTCATCCCGCCGGCCGTGCGCTACCTCGCGGCGCGGAGCTGCCGGCTCTCTGAGGGCACCTGCGGAAGGCA